AGACTACTCCCCGGTTTTATTGTCAGACTTGGAGTTAGACATCTTATGCCAGGCATTTCAGGACAGGGAGGAGGAGAAGGAGGGCTCTACCATGGTGGGAGAGATTATGATACAAGAGGTATGTTGACTTAAGCAATGTCCTCTGAATCACACCATGAAGTAGCACTCTTTCATTGGCCTAGACTTTCTTAGATGTGGCCCGCTCTTCAGGATGTAAAAGGATGGCGTAAGATGACTTTTGAGGTCCCTTGCATTATTTTTATAGCTCTATACTTATTTTTTTTCTCAGCTTTATTGAGGTATAATTGATAAATAAAATTGCAAGATACTTAAAGCGTACAGTATGGGGATCTGATGTACACACATTGCGAAAGGACTCCCAGTGTCGGATTAATGAGCACATTCACCACCTCACATATGTACCTTTTGTGTGTGTGTGTGTGTGTGTGTGTGTGTGTGTGTGTGTGTGAGAGAGAGAGAGAGAGAGAGAGAGAGAGAGAGAGAACATTTAAGTCCTACTCTCTTAGCACATTTCAATTATACGATACAGTGTTATCAGCTGTGGTCACTGTGTTTTACATTAGATTGTCAGACCTTATTTATCTTGTAGCAGAAAGTTTGTATTCTTTTACCAACCTCTCCCTATTTCCCCAAGCACCTCTAGCCCCTGACAATCAGTTTTCTACTCTCTGTTTTTATAAGTTAGACTTTTCTTTTTGATTCCACCTGTAAGTGATACCATGCAGTATTTTTCCTTCTCTGAGTTATTTCACGTAGCATAATGCCCTCCAGATTCATCCATGTTGCAAATGACAGGATTTCCTTCTTTTTTTAGGGCTGAATAATATGGCATTATATTTGTATGAATATATGTGTATACCACATCTTTATCTCTTCATTCATCAGTGGACACTTGTTTCCATATCTTGGCTATTGTGAATAATACTGCTATGAACATGGGAGTTCAGATATCTCTTTGGGATAATGATTTTATTTCCTTTGGATGTATACCCAGAAGTGGGATTGCCAGGTTGTATAGCTCTATACTTTAAAGAGTAGGAATTAATTGAATGCATTGAGGACCAAGTAGAAGTTGTCCTTGGTGGGTGGTAGTGGTCAGAAGACAATGGTTCAGTGATGAGAGCTGAAAACTCAGGGCTCAGAGGTCTGGCTTTGCTTTTGCATTCCTTGGGGATCAGTATTATATTGTCACAATTATCCGTCAAGTACACCCTCTTAAGTTTGTGGAGAGGAAAAGTAACTAAAAATGATTTTATAATGCTTTAAAAAGAAATTATTTTTAGTCTATGACCAATTTCTGTCTACAGGAGGAAGGTCAGCAAAGCCATCAAATAGTCTTGATCCGTGATAGTTTTCTCCATAATCCAATGATCCCATTACTTTTTCTGTATCCAACTTCTTCCTCAACCTCTCATTTATAAGTCCCTGGTCCATCATTGTTTCCCCTCCAGCTCTTTTGAGTTATTATTTACATATAACAAATGTAAGTTTAAGTTATATATTGTGAAATGATTACCACAATAAGGTTAGTTAACTTTCATTCCCTCACATAATTACCTTGTTTTTGTGGTGATAACATTTAAGATCTACTCTCTTAAATAACTTTCAAGTATATAATACAGCAGCAATCCCCAACCTTTTTGGCACCAGGGACTGGTGCTCCTATGAGAATCTAATGCCTGATGATCTGAGGTGGAGCTGAGGAGGTGATGCTAGCTCTGGGGAGCAGTTGCAAATACAGATGAAGCTTTGCTTGCTGGCCCGCCATTCACCTCCTGCTGTGCGGCCTGGTTCCTAGTAGACCACAGCCCAGCACTGTGGCCCAGAGGTTGGGACTCCTGTAATACAGTATTGTTAATTGTACTCACCATGCTGTACATTAGATATTAGAACTTATTCATTTTATTGCTGGGAGTTTGTACCCTTTGCCTAGTTCATTTTTATAATCCCTCTCTTCACACGTAATCAACTACCTCTGACCCCCACCGTCCCCAGTTGAGCTCTCCTAGCAAAATTTGCCACTGGTTAAATCTCTCTGTCTACTCAACCCCTTTATCCACCTCCAGAAGCTAAATGTGGCTAGAGAAAAACCCACAACCATTTTAATATAGAAAAACACACAACCATCTTAACAAGTCTCACTTTAAATTTATTATGTCACATTTTAAGTGGGTCCATAGGGCCGCCTGGCAGTTATACCACATAAGCCAAGAGAATTCACTCACTCATTTTTCAAGATGACTATTTCACACTTTCTCCTCTCACTTCAAACCACCAACATTTGTCTTTTCCTCTGCAGTTTTTTTCATTTGACCAAGAAAATAAAAGAAACATGAAGGTAACTTTCACATAGTCCCATCACCAATTCTGCCCTCCTGCCTGCACCTGTGCTCGCTGCAGCGGAGTGGGCACCTGAGGCAGCCCGTGCCCTGGCCTGCATTCCCTCGCAGTCATAACAAAGAAGCCAACCTTATGTAGTGGCCACTGTGTGCCAGGCTTCGTTCTAGATACCTTATGTATTAACTAGTGTAATACTCGCAATGGTCCTGTGAGATAGGAATCATACCAGTTTTACAGACGAGGCCGCAGAGGCACACCAAAATTCAGTAACGTCCAAAATCACACAGCCATAAGTTGATGATTTCGGACAACTTTTGTCAAGGTCACTAATGACCTCCGAAATGTCAAAGGCAGAGAGGTAACGTCAAAGCCAGAGGGACATTCTCAGTTCCCACTTAGCCTTTCAGAAGTGTCTCACTCATTCCGCTTCCTTGACATCCCATTCCTCTTGGTGTTTCTACCACCTCAGTGGTCTCCTCTCTGTCTCCTTTGCTGCATCGCCCTCTGCTGGCCAACCTCTACACGTCCGATTGCCCAGGGCTTGGGCTGGACAACTTTTCTTTCTATCCACACTCATTCTCTTGGGGATTTCAGCCAGCCTGAAGGCTTTAAATATTTATAAATTGATGACTACTAGATTTTTATCTCTAGCTTTGACCTTCCCTAGCCTTCCGTGGCTTCCGTTTGAATGTCGTAGGCATAGCAATCACACAATTAATGTGTTTCAAATAAAATTCTTGATTTTGCTCGTATCCTTTAGTTCTTATTTTTAGGAAGTCGGGGTCTTCCTTCCACATCCCACATTGTAATTATCAGGAGGGCTCTACCTTCAAATTACATCCCAGGTCGGACCACCTCTCTCCACTTCCAGTCCTATAGCCTTATCCAGAGCACCACCATCTAGTCTCTGAGTTTTGAAATAGCCTCCTAATACGTCTCCTTGCGTTGTCTCTGGTTCTGGTACAGCCTGTCCTCTACCCTGCATTCAGAGTCATTCATTATATTTATACATCAGATCCGGCCCTTCCAACTCCTTTTTCTTATTTCCTAGATTTTCTCTTTCCCCCCCCGATGCCCAGCCTAGTCTTTGCCGTTCTTTGAAAACCATAAGCACACTTCTGCCTCAAGGCTTTTGCCCTCTGTTCCCCGCTGCTGGGAATGCTCTTCCTAAATTAGCCTAAATTAAACAGGAGAATTCATTATTTCGATATGATCTCTGTTCAAACTTTACCTTATTTGAGAAGTTTTCCTTAATCTCTCCATCTAAAATAGCAGTGCCTGGCATTTTCTATCTTCTTGCCAGTTTTAGTCAGAGTGTAATGTTGTATCATATGTCTGTTTGCCATGTGTCTCCATGAAGGCAGAGATATTATTGCTATGTTCCTAGTGCCTGGAACTAGGTACTTGGTAAATATTTGTTGACTTTTTGGAATAGTGGCAGGTATTAAGTCCTACAAAGTTAAAGGACAGGAATGAAAAAGATTAGATGTAATACTTTTTTTAAAGTAAGAAAAATAAAACCTGTAAAAGATGGATAAAAAAGGGGTATATGTGGAGAAGATGGTCTAGAAGTGGAAGAGGAGAATCTCAGATTCCTTAATGTCTTCGTGGGTGCATCCATGCTTAGGGTGGGGACCTGAAGTATTTCTAGAAATTTAAAATTGGCAAAACGAAATAGAATTGGCTATCTTATGTTCCTTAAACCTACTCCACTTGAAGCATTGAAAATGACAAATTTTAAATTTAAGTTATGATAGTAACAATAATGATTTTTCCACGTGTTCCTTTTCTGAGTGTCTTTAATCAATATTCCATCTCCCAGTACTCTTTATTTTTTTTATTATTTTTAAAAATTAATTTATTTTTTATGGTGACATTGGTTAATGAAATCTGGTAAGTTTCAGCTGTACCTTTTAACAGTAAGGCATATATATATATTGCATTGCGTGTTCACCTCCCATAGTTAGATTTCTTTCTGTCATCACATATTTGACCCCTTTTACCCCACCTATCTCCCCCACTCCCTCCCCTCTGCTAACCACTAGTCCTAGTGCCTTTTAGAGTTAGACTGAGAACATTGATGTAATTGTTTCCAGTTTCTTGGGTCACTCCTCCGTAAAGAGAACAGTTCCAGGAGTGGATTTATCCACCTCTCGCTTAACATTGTTGTGAGTTCTACTCACTGATGTGGAACAAGAATGGAAAGAAAATCGTGCCAAAATAATAAATTCTCTTCCTTAGTATTATAAGATATAAAAGGATTGAGACAGTTCCTTTAATCTTTGCTAGTATTTCAGTGTGCTTTCCAACAGATAAATCTTTAACGACCTCCAGAAGACAAGAAGGGGATGTTTCCTACCCTCTTGAATATAAATACGCCTAACGAAAATTCAAATAAACATGATGACTCCAAATAAACATGACGCTTAATAATCATCTGACCTAACTGTGATTTTGAAAGTTTAAAGTGTAGGTGGATGGCGGGCACAGAATCCTGCAAAGCTCACATCACCCAGCTTGGGCCATAAAATTGTGAAAGGCCAAGCATGATTATTTTGTAGCCTTTAGGTTATTTCAAAAGATTTGTTTGTAGGCATTCGCTGCATTACTTCATTTCTCATTGACTTCTTTTTGCCCAGAGGGAGAAGAAGATGAGGATGAGGAGGACGAGGAGGAGGAAGATGAGGAGGAGGAAGATGAGGAGGATGAGGAAGAAGACAAAGGCACAGATTCCCTGGATGAGAGCGTGGATGGTGACGCCGAGCTGCGTGGGTTTACTGTCCCTGGCCTCACATCACAGGAACCTGGGTTGGAGCAGGAAAACATGGACCTTCTGGAGGGAGCCACCTACCAGGTGCCAGATGCCCTGGAGTGGGAACAGCAGAATCAGGGCTTGGGTAAGAGTCGTGGGTATTTCCCTTTCCCTATTCCCACCCCTTCTTTCACGTTTCTGAGGTGACAGCTTTCTTTCCTTGGTATTGATTATGGAGCAAAGTGGATTTTCAGTTTTTGTTTATGGATGGTTGGTTCAT